ACACACACACAGGCATTCCACTCCTCACACACACAGGCATTCCACTACACACACACACACACACACACACAGGCATTCCACTCCTCACACACACACAGGCATTCCACTCCTCACACACACACACACACACACACACACACACAGGCATTCCACTCCTCACACACACACACACACACACACACACACACAGGCATTCCACTCCTCACACACACACAGGCATTCTACTCGTCACATACACACACACAGGCATTCTACTCGTCACATACACACACACAGGCATTCAACTCCTCACACACACACACACACACACACAGGCATTTCACTCCTCACACACCCAGGCATTCCACTACACACACACACACACACACACCCCCACACACACACAGGCATTCCACTCCTCACACACACACACAGGCATTCCACTCCTTACACACAAGCATTCCACTCCTTGCACACAAACACACACACACAGGCATTCCACTCCTCTCTCACACACACACACACACACGCACAGGCATTCCACTCCTCACACACACACACAGGCATTCCACTCCTTACACACACACACAGGCGTTCTATTCCTTAAACACACACCGTCATTCCACTCCTCACACACACACACACACACACACCCTGCCATGGGGTCATCTCACTTGGGTACGGAAAACCTCCCAAGAGAGCTCATTTCCTCTTTGGACAGTTGATACTGTTATCTCTTCCAAAAATAGGTAAAAATGAAAATAAACACCATAATCTCTAGGCAACTGTAATCATTTCAGATTCAAACACTGGTCAGAGTTGTTGGAATTCACCAAGCCGGCCCCCATTCTGTGCCCCCACCACAGAGCAGTGAGCCTCCCTGCGGGGCCCCAAGGCCCAGACTGGGGTTGTGCACGCGGGTATGTGGGTGTGCGTGTGTGTGTGTGTGTAGTGGGGGTAACAGGCTCACACTGCAAAGAAACCAGCCATATTAGTTCTTACAAACCAAGAGATGCCAGGCGGGTGACGCACCCCTGGGTTGGTTAGAAGGATTTAACTGCACGTGCCCTGCTCTGCAACATTACCTGGCGTCTTAAAACCCCGTGAGCCCAGGTATTAACTACACCTGAATTAATTATTGAGATTGATTTTAATTTTGATTGAGATTAATTTTGAGACTAATTGCAAACCTATGGTCTTGGTAATCTTCCAGGCAAACTACTCTGAGTATTTTTTTTCTCATTTAAAAAAATTTAAAAGAGGAAAACATTTAAATATCAAAGTGAAGTTTTTTCTAAAATACAGTTACACCACTGTGCAGAAAAGAGTTCACACAGCAGGCGGCTGTCCTGAGACGGCTCTCCTTAGAAAGGTTTACTCGCAAGGCTGGCCCCTGGCTGCCATCTGGGAACTCGGATTTCGGGAGGGCTCCTGCCATTCCCTAAATGGTAAGGGCGGCCGATGGCTCATTCTAGTACATACCTCTCTCCAGATGCCTTCAAAAAAGTCCATGTGATTCTTTTTGTGATTGGCCTGGGGAAAAAGAAAAAACAGCTTGACTAACCCTTTCCATGAAGGGAGGCAGACAGCAGCTTCATGTCCCAAGGCAAAGGACAAAGGGGCCCACTGCCCACAGCAGCGGTTCCTGCCACCCAGACACTGGGCAGATGGCGGCCCTGGCAGAGTCGGGGGTGACAAGGAGAAGCATCCCCCAGGAGCCTGAGTGGAGGTAGAGGACCCCTCAGGGGGTTTGCTTTGAGGGACTAAAACGCAAACCTGGGCCACTGTAACCGGGGAAAGTAGAGCCAGGAATGTGGCAAGGAGACAGACTCCCCAGCTAGATTTGGTTTCCATGGCGCCAGGAAGAGACAAAAATGACTCATCGAACCTACATGGCACCCTGGCACTTGTTCTGGACCCAAAGCCAGAAAAGATCACAGAAGATACTAGATCATCCATCCCAACCCCTTCCTTTACAGATGCAGAAGCTGAGGCCCAGAGAGGGGCCAGGCATTGCTCAGGGTCCCTCAGAAGAACCCAGGGCTGGCATCAGATATTCCAGAACACTTCCCACTACACCCAGCCTGATGGGAAAAGCAACTCTTTTTTTTTTTTTTTTTTTGTGAGGAAGATTAGCCCTGAGCCAACATCCATGCCAATCCTCCTCTGTTTTGCTGAGGAAGATTGGCCCTGGGCTAACATCCATGCCCATCTTCCTCCACTCTACATGGCACACCTCCACAGCGTGGCTTGACAAGCGGTGTGTAAGTGCGCGCCCTGGATCCAAACCTGCGAACCTCGGGCCGCAGAAGCAGAGCGCGCACACTTAACCGCTGCGTCACCGGGCTGGCGCCTGTTGTTTGTTTTTGTTTTTGTTTTTCTTAATCAAAAGAAAGACTCCCAAAGGACAGGAATTTGAACACCTCTAAATTTGGGGAAAAGAAAAAAGACCTGTAAAAATGATGCTAAGAACCACTGAGAATACTATCTCCAAGGAGTGGTCCAGGCCCAGGGCAAGGGTTCCTGGTCTCAGGCACAAGGGTCTGCTCTGGGCCATTGGCCCCCTCCACCCCTCCCCTCCCCGCCCCCATTTCCACTAAGAGGGAAGGGGCAGCGAGCAGATGAGCACCTTGAAGTGATGGAGCATGTTTCTCTGCCTCTTCCGGAAGCCGGCCCTGGCGCTGGCCACACTGAACGCTGCCCTGATGCAGTTGGGTCGGCCGTACCTCAGGCCGGCCATGGCTCAGTGGGGCCAGCTATGGACTTTTCACTTGGCTAAAAAATATCAAGTTCATAGGGACAAAGCACAGGTCAGTGGTTGCAAGGGGTGGGAGGGAGGCGTTGACCACAAAAGGGCAGGAGGGAACTTTCCAGAGCTAAGGAACCCTTCTGTCTTGATTGTGGTGGTGGTTGCTCCACAGGACGCATTTGTAAAAGTCAGAGCTGTGCGCCCAAAGGGGTGAATTTTACTGCAAATAGTTATACCTCAGTAAGCCAAATCTAGAGAGTTTTCAAAAAATTTTTTAGTTAAAAGAAAACCCACAGGCAGCTGGTGGCGTGGGAGGATACCCCACAATTGATACATCAGTTTGGGGAAAGCCCCTTTGTCTTCTCATAAAAACCCATCAGGAAACATTACACATTCATTGACACTGAAAGTTCTAGAACATTAGAGTGGGGAGGGTTCAAATGTCCTCCCTTCTGTTTCGTTTTTTAACAGATGAAGAAATTTAATCCCAGACTAGGGACTGACACACCCAAGGCAACATAAACTCAGAGAGCTTTTCCTAAGAAGTATGAGGCTGTTAAAAACATAAAATTTTTTTAAAACCCTGCACCCAAAGAACAGAGAGAGAGAACAGCCACTCTAAAAAAACAAAAAAAAAACTTACTAAGAACAAGAGGCTACAAACCTCCTTGGCGTTTCATGTCACTTGCTCTCCTCAAGAATCCTCCTGGGAAGGCACCCGCTAGACCCTGTGGGAAAGTGCATCAGTTATAAACACACGCCCCCGTGCGACATGCTTTTCACCATAAACTCAGGCTTTCCCAAACTGGGCTCCTTGGAACACCAGTTCTCAGGCCTGTAAGGCAAAGTTCAGAGAAATAGGAAGTGCTACAAACCAGACCTTAAAGAATCCTGGGTGTTATGCAGAATACATGTTAGTATTTTTTTTTGGTGAGGAGTGGCCCTGAGCTAACACCTGTTGCCAATCTTTCCCTTGTTGCTTGAGGAAGATTCGCCCTGAGCTAACATCTGTGCCCATCCTCCTCTATTTTGTGGGATGCCACCACAGTGTTGCTTGATGAGTGGTGTAGGTCTGCTCTCGGGATCTGAACCCATGAACCCAGGCTGCCAAAGAGGAGTGCACTGAACTTAACCACTACGCCACCGGGCTGGCCCCACAAGTTAGCATTTTAAAGGCTAGAAAGTTTCCCAGCAAAAAACAATCTCCTTTTTTTTTTTTAAGAATTAACCCAAGTCTATACTTTATTCCAATTTCATTCGTTTTTACTTAATGTCCTTTTTCTGTCTCAGGATCCCATCCAGGACACCACATTACACTTACTTTCATGTCTCCTTAGGCACCTTCTTAGCTGTGACATTTTCACAGACCTTCCTTGTTTTTGATGACCTTGACAGTTTTGAGGAGCATCTTGTAAGCTGTCCCTCAATTGGGATTTATCTGATGTTTTTCTTATGAATAGACAGGGGTTACAGATTTTGGGAGGGTGACCACTGAGGTAGAGTGCCCTTCTCATCGCAAGGGTGTCAAGGGCACGTCACTGTGACCACCTGGCTGAGATAGGGCCTGCCGGGCTCCCTTTCCATCCTGTCCTCTGTAGGAAGAAGCCCCTCTGCGCAGCCCATGCTCAGGGAGCAGCGAGTTGTGCGGACCTCCTGGAGGCGAGCAGCTACATAAATTCCTCGCCATGGAAGATTCCTCCCCCATTGACTGATCGATTTAACCATTCACGCATATCAGCGTGGACTCACATTCGTTGTATACTTGGGTTATAATAAATACTACATTATTTATTTTGCTCCAGCTTTGGCTGGAACTTGTTGGGCCGCCTCCCATGTCCCTTTGTGTCCAGTGTCCCAAAATGATTTAATATTGATCTCCAAAGGAACATGTCCTGTGAGGTACTTAGCACTCTCTCTGGGCTGAATTTTAAGAAATTTTCACATATTGAGGTATATGGGGAAGCTATTCTGGTTTAAACCTGATTTTGCCTGAACTGTATGTGAACTAACCAGCCTGACTTATGGCCTGTCAAACACACGTTGTCCATCCACTTAAACCATTAAAGTAAAGGATGAATTAAACATTATCCCAGAATGAAGAGTGCACTCTCTGAAGATACGGATGCATGCCTCCTTTCCTACGACGCCAGTACCAGTACTCATTTGAGGATAAGTTTCCTTTCCCAGACATCAGGGTTGTGTTGATCTGCTAATTGTAACTAAATATCTCTTTGAAACTTTGAGGGATATGTATCCTGGACATGTTTGATGTATGTTCTTTGTTCTAAAAAGGTATAAAACTGTACTGAAAACCATACTTCTCTGGAACACTTTCTTCCTGGGTGGAGACTGCCCTCCCAGGCTAGTCCTCAGCGTGGCTCAAACAAAACTCACCTTATGTTTCTTATCTATAGAATGGTTATTGGTTATTTGCATCAACAGTGTAAATAAAAGTACCAAAAAAGTAAGCGAAATAATTCAGACAGAGAGAGACAATTACCATGTGACTTCACTCATATGTGGAAGATAAACACACACATTTAGATATGGAGACCAGATTGGTGGTTACCAGAGGGGAAGGGGGTGGGGGAGGGCAAAGGGGCACATGTGTAGGATGATGGATGGAAACTGGACTTCTGGTGGTGAACACGATGCAGTCTATACAGCAGGTGAACCATAACGATATACACCTGAAATTTATACAATGTTATGAACCAATGTGACCTTGAGGAAAAAATGCACCAAAAAAGTGAAATTATAACAAGTAGAGGAACCCAACCCCCCTTCTCTCCTCACCTCCCTGCCGGAGCTGCGGACCAGGATCAGCACTGACCTATTTTCTAGACCAGTTGGTTGGTACCAGGTTAAAGGACCTCTTATATACTTTTAATCCAAAGGCATTTCACACACATGGTCAAAAAGTCCTATTAAACGTTATACAGTAAGTACCTGAGGTCCCCCAGACCCTGCTGCGGGCCCCCCCGTACATCCTCCAGGAGTTCGCTGTGCAAATTCCCCACACAGGCTCCTTTATAATCCCTCACCCACAAGCGTTTATACCCACAGAGGCAGAAATCTCTTGTGAAGAGTTTCCATACGGAGTATAAGACCCAACAGGCACTTGCCCATCCCAAGCATCCTCGCTTTGGATTCACTCTGAACTTCAGTGTCAAACCAGCAGCCTCACCAGTCATGTAGTTTGGGGAGTTAAACAAAACTCGTTTTTGTTTTTTTTTTCTGAGGAAGATCCGCCCTGAGCTAACATCTGCCAATCCTCCTCTTTTTGCTGAGGAAGACTGGCCCTGGGCTAACATCCGTGCCCATCGTCCTCCACCCCATATGGGACGCTGCCACAGTGTGGCTTGACAAGTGGTGCGTCAGTGCACGCCCAGGATCTGAACCAGCCAACCCCAGGCCACCGCAGTGGAGCGCGTGCACTTAACCGCTTGCGCCACCGGGCCGGCCAAAACTCGGTTTTGATGCCAGTAGGAACTCAATTAAAAGACAGAAGCTTGCAGACGGCGGCATGACGGTGTCAGCCGGTTTACAGCTGGGAATCTGAGGTTAAGAACATCGGATTTGCCCAGAGGCACAGAGCTGAGGCCAGAAGCTGGTTCTAATCCCCGCCATGTGGCTGCTCTGCTCCCACACACACGCAAGCATGCACGCACACGCATGCACAGCAACCCCGGGGACGTCCTGGGCCCCCAGGCACCAGCGTCTCCACCTCCCCTCGCAGGGCAGCTTCTCTAGCAGAGGGAAAAGACAAGCTACCCAGGACTCTCCCCCTCCTCCCTCTGCCTCCTCCAGTGCCCCCTCCCTCTCCACCCTCAAAGGTTACTTTAAAAAGCCCTTGTCAGACTTACTGGAGAATTCTTTGAAATCAAGCCTATTATGATTGAAGTCACCTTGTTGCACAAACCTCTGCAATTCCTCCTGGCCACTCCTCCCGACCTTTCTTCCCAGCCAAGGTCAAAGTGGGTCCCCAGCCTTCCTCACCCCACTTCCTCCCTCTCCTCCACCCCTGGAAGTTGGCTCTCTGCCCCTCTTGGCTCAGTCACTTTAAGTGACCAATTCACCTTGCACTTATCTCGTTGGCCTCTTTATAACACCCTCCCTCCCTCCCTCCCGCTCCAGCTGAGGGTCCTTCACTGGAGGAGCAGCTGCTTTCTCGCCTCCCCAGCTCCAGGGGGCGCTGCCAAGCCCACAGCCTGACGGGGACAATGTCAGGCGAACACTGAAGGTGTGATGGTGGTGCTGTGTGTGTGTCTAAAAAGGCCTTTCCTTCTAGGGGACACACCGGGGTGGGGGGAGGAAACAGAATCGGCCGTGTATTCTGGATCCATGAGGCTGGGACAATGTTAGACAATTCTCTTCTCTTGTATGTTTGAAAATTTCCTGATGAAGAATTTAGAGGTCACCAACTCTGCCCTGAGAGCCACCAATCTCTACCTTCAAGCAAGTCCCGTCCATTAAGCTCGAACCCTGAGTGCCCACTGCCCATCCTGCATCTGTCCACACACTCCACACCCACACATCATCTGGCCTCAAGGCTCCACGCGCCACCTCTGGCGGCCCCAGGTTCCATCTCCCAGCTCCACACCCGCAGCCCCCACTGCCCAGCCTCCTCGGGGTCTCGCAATAGGTTCTTCCAACTTGACATCTCCAAGATCAAACTGCTGATCTTCCCAAAACTAACCCCACTGCTGTCCTCCCTCCCGGCTCAGCGGGGGGCGGGGGCGCAGCTCCGCGTCTTGTTGCTCAAGCTAAAAACCCTGCACAGCACCTTGGCTCCCCTTTCTCCCAAACCGCACACCCAGTTGATCAGCCAGCGTTGACTCTGCCTTCCAAACGAGGCCAGAGGGCAGTCCCTTCTCCCACTTCCACGGCTCTGCGCTCATCCTCAGCCCGGAGCAGCGCCGTTAAAGCTTAGCTGGAATTCCGCCCTGTCCCTCAGAGAAAGCCCGAGCCCTCCTCGCGGCACCCAGACGCCTCACAGGACAAGCCCCCCACACAGCCCTGCCTCCTCCTCTCCCCTGCAGCTCCGCGCCCCCCCTCCTTGGAGCACAGGGAGCTCCCACCCCAAGGCCTGAGACTCGCTTGACCTCCACCTGGCTGTCCCCTCACCTCCACCCTTCCTGGAGGCCCCTTATCTCACATTTCAACCTCCCCCATCCTCACACTGCCATTTCACACACGCATGCGCACACCCCCCTGCTGCGTCTTTCCCTCGCCCTCGCCACTCTAACGTTCTCTGTGTCCTCCTCCTGCCTCTCGGGATCACCAGCCCCTTCAAGGGACTCACGCTCCATCACCTGGGCTTTTTGCTTCTTTGTCCACAGCTGTGTCCCCAAAGCCTGGCACGGCACTGAGCACGCAGTCAGTGCTCAAAACATATTTACTGGATGGACGCACGTCTGTTCCACCAAGACCCGCACCTACCAAGTCCCAAACCCAGTGCTTTTCCCCCGGACGTGCCCCTCCTTTTGCAGCCTCCACTGTGGCTAAACTGTCTCCACTAGCCAAGACCCCCGAGCCAGAAACCACTGGAGGCTGAATGGCTGATGGGTCCCAAACCCAGGTCTGCTACCAACCAGGCTTCATGACTTCACAGATGTCTAAAGCAGCTTCTCCCAGCCTCAGTTTCCCTGTCGGTAAGATGGGCAAACAGATGAGGAGTCTGTGATGTGACATGTGAAAAGGGGTCAGCATGCTGCTCTCTTTG